AGGGTACATGAGGCGCAGCGAAGGCTATTCACAGAGTTGTACTGAGTCAGCCAGTGAGTCCTGGAGCTACCGCCGAGTTAGCCAGCAACTAGTCAGTTGTATTGTGGCATTTGGAGTGTACTAATTGTGATACTGCAGATAGCAGTAATCGTAAATCTGTAATTTGGGTGATTGTAAGTGCGAATGTGAAATAAAATTCGCTACATCAAATACATCGTGAAGTTATTTGTCGCGATATACGCCCGATACGCGACAATATATATGGAGTACAGTTTCACTCCAATATGGAAACTTATGACATTTTCATATATTACGTATATACAAGGTGGTTCAAATATGACAAGGACTGATTTTTTTTTAAACCAAAATTGCCAAACACTTACTTGCACATCTAAGTCTTCAACATACTCCCCTCCAGAGTCAACACATTTTTTCCAACGTTCTGGAAGCATCCTGATGCCCTTTTCAAAAAAGTTTTGTGGTTGGCGGCGTATCAACTTCCGAACATTCTGGACGACGGCATCGTCCACAAACCGCATGCTTTGCAAGTCTGATTTGAGCCTTCCGAACAGGTAGAAATCACTTGGTGCCAAATCAGGACTGTACAGCGGATGTGTCAGAAGGTTCCATTTCAATTTCCGAAGGGTTTCCATTGTTGTTTTGGCCGTACGGGGGTGTGCATTGTCTTGAAGGAAGGCTACCCGCTTTCCACCTCTCTTCTGCTTGGATCAGATCTTTTCCTTCACGTCTGTTGGCAGGAGGACTGAGTAATAAGCTGCACTGACTGTTCTGGCATCTGTCAGAAAGTCTACATGGATAACCCCCTGCCAGTCCCAGAAGAACGTTGCCATAACTTTTCCTGCCGAACGGCTCCTCCGCGCTCTCTTGGGTTTGGGAGAACTGGTATGCCGCCACTCGTGTGATGATTGCTGGGACTCGGGAATGAAGTAGTGCACCCACGTTTCATTGGTGGTCACTACAGACTTCAAAAATGCATCACCTTCATCTTCAAACTGCTGTAGGAGAGGACTGGCAACTTGCATGCGCACCATTTTGTTCACGTCCGTCAAAGTGCGTGGTACCCACCTTGCATTCACCTTGCGATAGTGCAGGTGGTATTTCATGATGTCTTCTACACTACCAACACTGATGGACAGCATTGCTCCAAGTTCCTTGATAGTGATGTGCCTATTCTCACGAATAAGTGCGTCTGCATGATCAATGTTTGGCTTGGTGACGGATGTTCGCGGCTGACGATCATGCGGTTCATTCTCCACGCACTCTCTGCCCTCTCTGAAGCACTTACACCACTCAAACACACGGGTCCATGAGAGACACTCTTCCCCATACTGTTGTTTGAGTCTGTGGTGAATTTCAGTGGACGGGACGTTTTCTCCAATGAGGAATTTGATCACAATGGGTTGTTCCATGCTCCGCGGTTACCTTCTGTTCACTCATCACTCTAGCAACTTCCAGACAGGACTGAACAGGTTCTAACCCTAACAGGAGGGAGGGTGGAGGTTGTGGCTTCACTCTCTCAAGGTCGCACAGCTGCTGCGCAGTGCGGCTTGTTTACAAAAAAATCAGTCCCGGTCATATTTGAACCACCTAGTATATGCATATTTACTGAAATAATGGTGTAACATACGCCAGTGCAAGCAATGACAATGGACTCAAGTTAAGGCATTACTGGGACTCCAACATCAGTTGCATCCTTAATTTAAATTTCAGTCAAATATCTATCTGGATCATTGCCTTTTTGTTCTTAGGCAAAGCCAAATATGCATGAAGAATATACTTATACACCGAACAAAGCGGCCTCCGTAGTCTAGGGGTAACGTTCCCACCTCATGACTCAAGTTACGCGGGTTCAAACCCGGCGGAGGTTGTGGAATTTTTAAGGGTGGAAAAATTCAGGGAACAAGTCCTCCAGGAGGGACTTTCAGCCGTGGGTCCCATGTCATAGATTTACGGCACGTAAAAGATCCTCATGTCTCTAGGAAACCTCTGAGCAAAATTAGGCAAAAAGTTTCCTGCCCAAGTAGTTTCCAATGCCTCCGGTAGATGGGAAAGTTATCAGGTACCACTGCCAGAAGAGGGCCAACCTCGCTGGCAGAAAGGGGAGATAGCGAGCACCAGTACCGGTAGGGTATGGCGACAGTAGAAATTAAAGGGGGACGTACAATAGACTACTAGCCATGGTACATGGAGAAACCTACCCCCTCTAATACTGAATAACTGAATATACACTGGACAGGTTCTAACACCATAAAGCTACTTTCCTTTCATTCTACAATCAATGCTTTCAATATTTTTAACATACATTATATATTCATATACTGTATCACCCAAGACACTAATGTATGTGAAATGTTTCAGGGCAGTAGCAATTTTTCTTCAAAATCTGACATATTTTTAACAACCATCATTTTTCTGAAGTGATTTAAATGTCAGGTATTTATAGCATTTTAAATTAACTCAGTAATTTACTCAGATAATTGTCACGTGTGTCCTCCTGGTATAAAAAAATTGGCATGGAAAGTTGTGTTCTTTAAATGAAAAATTAGTTAACAGAAAAAAAAATCCAATCAACTGTACTAAACTGTGTAGTTTTTTGAGAAATATTTATGCCTTATATTCTTTTGGCATATTTGGCTGTTAAGAAAGCCCAAACTTTTCACTAATGCACGGGCTTGACCATCCAACCAAATTATATTTATATGTATGCATGCCAGGCAACAAATTTCTGCTCCACTGAAAATGTCAAAAATATATATATAGTATGAAGTATAAACTGAAATAAAACATATTTTTCACTGTAATTAGCCATGATCAACTGACACACCATGATATTTCATAGATTTGTTAACTATTTTCAAAATTCTCAAGAGGCATAATATTTTCTCTCCTTTTATGTAATGCAAATTCTGTGCTCTTTCTAGAAATATCTGGCCCCAGAATTAGAATGCTTGATCACATCAGTCTAGTTATAGAATAATAATGTGATGTATCAGCCGAAAGACAATTAAACTGAATGACAGCAAAAGGCAAATAGCTGCTTTCAGCTCTCACATTTATAAAAATCACAAAAGCATACCATAAAATGTAAAACAGCAGTCCTCAGTAGCAATAACAGAGGACATAACAGACAGCAATAGATCAACAGTCCAACCTTCCAGTATTACACAATTAATAACAAAAGGCTATAGACAGACTGAGAGAGAGAAAAAGACAGTCAATACATATTTTTCTGTTATAGCAGCGCAAGCAGCATAGTGACAGGTGTATGCAATGTCAAATGAAGCTAGTGTGAGGGAAACAAACCAAGTGACTTCAAAAAAAATAAATAAAAAAGGTACAGAAAAAAAAAGAGATAAAGACAGTGGAACAACACACATTTTTCTATTATGGGAGTGCAAGCAGCAAAGTGACAGGGGTGTTCATTGTGAATCGAAGCTAACATGAGGGAAATGAAACTAAAGAGTGAATTAAAACTAAATTATGTTAAGATGAAATTTCTTTTCAGCTTCCAGGCTTCACATCAGTAGGAATATGGACCTGGAATATGGCAACAATTCAGTACTTAGCCTTCAGATTTACTGCAAAATAACATATACTTTTGAAAAGACAACTAATGATAAGGAAAGCACCCAAAAATGTACTCTAGAGCACTTCACATTTAACTGTAAGACACAAAACTGTATGTGGGCACACGAATATTAAGAAGGTTTATCAGTATCTATTAGCTATGGCAGAAGAATTAATGTTAAAATGTTAAAATTGGAAAAAAAAAATTATATTCTAAAGATCAGGCACTTAATATTTCAGAATTCCATAATAGAGAAAGAAAATCACAATTCCAAAATCATGCAGCCTTCTTGTAAAATTAATGATGATATTTGCTGCCCACATCGAAGTAACAAACAATAACTGCAGTGTTGTCTCCCATGCCTTGAATAGAAGGAAAAAGTCAGCCACTAGAGGACTGCTTACAATTGTATCCACTACTCACATGATGATCATAAACTATGAAATTACAACAGGCTACAATGTAGTCACTCTGTATATACTATCTAAATTAGTAGGAGGAACTTCAAAGAATTAAATGAAGCACAATTTAACATGTGGTTACACAAGTGAAGCTTCATCAGAAATGGAATCACTGTTTCATCCACTGACAAAACTTTGCACTGTTCGGGTAATAATCCACATTTTTTCAAATAAAAGATTAGTTTCATCTAGCTGAGAATTTACTGTTAGCTTACAGGAGAAGATAACAGGAAAACAAATGCAATCTATTTTTTTTATTGCCAGTGGAATGGGACTAAGTCCCTTGTACTGCGGCCACTATTGGCCTATTGTACCAGCCCCAGATGATAGGTGAAGGTGATTGTGGACCAATTGGTGGAATGAAGATTGGCAGGGGAAACCGAAGTACTCGGAGAAACCTGCCCCAGCGCCACTTTGTCCACCACAAATCCCACTTAACCAGACCCAGGGTCAAACCCGGGCCGCCATGGTGGGAAGCCAGCGACTAACAGCTTGAGTTATGGCATGGCCCAAATGCAATCTAACTCCCCTGTAACATTGTTACCTATAGTTAGCCATTAAATAAGAGATGTGTTGATAGGGAATTAAAAATACTACCAAATGTACAGTCAGTGACGCAATTTACCATCATCTAAATTTCTTATTTTATTTTCTGCATGTCGATGTTCACATTCAAATTAAAATTATATGCTGTATATGCCCTATTATATACCTCATATTACACTTTTTTCATATACAAAGTGTAAATGAGAGGTGTGGACAAACGTTGGGCACAAGTTCCACATACCAACACATGCAAAAATGACCACATCAACGTGTATCCAAAAAGACCTTTTGAGTTAGAGGTAATTTGATCCAAGTCTCAATAAGTCTCATCATGGACTGCCACATCTGTTCAAAGATGCTGGTGTAGTTGCAGATGGCCTGAGAGACATCCACAGTGTGATGGTGAAGCGCTCCTTCATAGTAAAGAGAAGCTGTATACACAAGGGTTTTTAGGTGTCCCCACAGGTAAATATCCAGAGGATTCAAATCTGGAGAGTGTGGCAGCCACGCAGTGGGTCCTCATCTACCTATCCATCAGTAACGATAGGCGTTATTGAGAACAACTCACACAGCATGGCTAAAATGTGCCATAGCACCATCGTGTCATGTAACACATTTGTGCTCTGACTGCCAGTGGTACATCTTCCATTAGCTTTGACAGATTATGTAAGAGGAGATATCGGTAGCGGTTGCCTGTAAGCTGATGAGGCAAAACACGTAAGCCTACCAAACAATCGCCAACAATCCCCACCCACATATTAATGCTGAACTGTTTTTGGTACCTACAAAGTATTCTTTCATCTATAATTAACAAATTAAATGTTTCTGAATACATGTTGTTATGAACATTTATTCTCGTTTTGTTATGTCCAAAGTTTGTCTGCACCTTTCAGTTATACCCTGTATACAAAATTTGCTTGTGGCATGTTTTGACATATATTACCATCTTCTGGCATTATCATATCACTACTACAGGTACATATATATTTTTTAATCAGTAACTTGCATTTCTGGTAGATTACTGCATCACTGTCATTCAAGTATTGTTGGTTATACAGTGAAAGATTGTGTTTTCTTGCATCTGGTACGACATGCACATCAACATAACATCCCTCTAGTGCCTAAGTAATAACTTCAAAATGCATCACATGTGAGTTTTTTTTTTTAAACTTTGATTTTAGTGGTAACTATGGTACATACAAATTTTAACACAGATCATGAATTACAATAACACAGCTGTCTCATGATACCAAGGTGTATAATGTTACATACCAGCAAAAGCACCCAGGTTTTCTTTAAATAAACTCTACTGAAATAATGAAACTGCTTATTTAGTATGACAGTCCTATGCATATATACTCCCACTGACCAATTTTCTGTTTTTAAGTGATGTGAATGAATGAATGAATGAATGACTGCATCAGGGACAGGCCTAAACCAGCCATTGCACCATACCCTTCAATGATCTACTGTGCATTCCCCTCTATTTCAACCCTTCAACAATCCTACAATTCAAATGAAGTTTAGTATCTTACAGGGGCAGCTTGGTAGTCATCTAACTCCATTAAGTAATGACCCAGGTGACAAAATCTTGTGTAAGCTATAGCCTCACAGTCACATAGGATATGTGTGGTTGATTCATCTTTTTCTAGGCATCTTTCATAACTTGGAATATTTGTCAATCTCATTCTGAAGAGGTGTCCTTTCAGGTGACAGTGTCCCATAATTTGTGAGAAACAGGAAAATGATCACAACTCTAAATTAAAGTTGAAAATTGACAGAACAATGGTGGATACAAACTGCCTTTACTACATTATACAAAGAAATGTTACTGCCTAGCAATTAGGCCACAGATGGAGTGAAAAAGAGAAAAAAAAAATGGATAACAATAAGTATTTTACACATAAAAAAGAATCAGGATTCCCAGTGACAGTTAAACATTATGTTGTACTTGGAAGTTCCACAACAAAACTATACAGAACACTGCAACACCAGGTATAATTCTACTTTAGCAACTACACAGAGTTCTCACAAAGACTGTGTGTCTATTACCATGCATCATTTAGTTGATCCTATAACATCAAGTGACATCCAAACAACAAAGGCAACATCACAATTTATACACAATATTAGGAAAGCCAGGGCCCTGGTACCTGCATCCACTACTGCATCCAGTGCAACTTAGTTTATTCAAAGGACAGAGAGAGTCAATGACTTTCTTGTTAACTTATGAACTGATAATAATGATAAAACACTGCTCCCATTTCACCTCCAAGTCTACAACCTCAACAAACCGAAATTTTCTTACTATAAAACGAGAGTTCTTTATACACATGTTTCTACAGAAAGAGACCTCCCCGTGTGGAGGTGGCACTGTGACCCTAGGAGGCGACGAAAAGGGAGGTCTCAATTCTGAGACAGTAAAATATGGTCGGGAGTCCCAAGGGACTCAGACCCGAGAAAGACTACACTGGCAAAGGCCAGCAGCATATACAAAAGACAGACCCGTCCTCTTGTCAGAGAGGGCACCCCCACAGAAACAAGACCGTAACTGTCAAACGGTAATAATTAATATTTGATCATGAGCCCCAGATGGGGCTCAACACCAAGACTTACTGACTGACCGACCGACCGACCATCAGTCGCAATGTGACTTTGACTTTGGCAGGTTACATATAAAATATGTACATCTCCTTGTTGAACAACACTTATTCATCGTATTAAGTTTTGACACAGAGTACTTCAATAGCTGTGCATACATACATACTGGCTGTATGGACATAAATAAAATCATAGAATTACTCTCCTGTTCATCACTTTTCAGTATCAGAAAAAATAAACACAGTTGTACTGCATACTAGGGAACATACCAAGGCTCAAGTGAAGGGTGGCCATTGTCTGTGATGTATCTTTTCCACAATTTTCAAGTGTGACTGACATAACTACATGTATCTTGTAACAAAAAGACAGCAAATCCAACCAATCAAACCTGTCAGACATATAAGAACACTTCAAGACACACCAATGTGAACCACTGCGAGCAAAACAGACATCAGACGGGTCTACAAGGCTTACCCCACACCACTCATAATGGCTCCAGCCGTGTCGGCAATGGAGAACCCACCAACCCCTATCCCCATTGCAGCAGCTGTAGTTCCTGGATCACTCTTCAATTGTGGAGTATCAGGAGCAGATTCAATATCTGGGGCTGGGGTTGGAGGTGGTGGCCCAGGGCCTGGGGACTTGCTACTCTCCTCGCTGGGAGTCTTGGTCAGGAACAAACCCGTACTGAAGTCACTCACAAGGTTGATTGGCGAGCTGCAGGGTTATGGTTGGATAACAACAAGTAGGACAATGATGGGACACAGCAAAACAAGGCCTCATACTCTACCAAATAAGTAACAGTTGGAGCTACCGATAGCGAAACACTGATATATCCCATTTAGTACATTACCACACAGTATGAGTCATCAACATAGAGAGGGCAAAAAGGGGGTTAATGGGTTGTAACAATTTCTATATTCCTGGCCATAACAACATGAAGACAGAATGTCAAGTAACAGATTTAACATCATTGCTCTGTTCCCTAGATAATCTGTATTTATATACATATATTACACTGGGGATGTAGAATTCTGACTTTATAAACTAAAAGTAAAAAATCTGACAGCTTACTTTGACAATCAAATACCAAGACCTGTTCATATCATCTGATTTTCTGTTAACCAGCCAGTTATTATGGTTTACTGCAGAGACCACCAAGATGACAAATTAAGGGCTTAAATTGCATTTAATAATTCTGTGGTGTATGTTTAGATAAAACAACTGTACAAGTGGAATTAAACAAGAATTAGAAAGGCTGAGCACAGGATATTTCAGAGAAGGGAAGGAGTAATGATAAGGGTGTCTGGATAAGAATAAGTGAAAGATATGTTGATATGGAAAAGCAAAATGTGGAAATCATGATATGAGAGAGGCTCAGAACACTGTACAGCATTAAAAGAGCATCTGGAAGAAAGAGAATTTCATGTGGCACTAAACTGATAGCCTCACTCATATGATAATTTGCATTACAGGAGCTTAAGGAAATAAAAACAGTGGAAAAATATATACAATTATATAAAGCATCTAGGAGCGGAGTGCAAAATTGAAGTCTGGAGACTGCAGGAGGTTAGGAAAAACAATTAAAATGGGATATGTCCCATATGTTAAAAAAGACTGGAGCTATACACAGAGATCTGAAGGAACTAAGATTCTGATGGACCAGATTTTTAACAAGAGGTCTAGGAATACTGATACAGAAACGAGATTAGTAGGATGCAAGAATGAAGAGCAATGGCAGATAACAGATACAGGAATACATGATTAAAGTAGAATTAAAATGGGACAAGTAGTAACCGGTAGGGGCAATATCAGGATATGAATAATTAAAATTCTAATGTATAAGAAATTAATTAAAAATCTATAATAGTAATTTAAGTTGGATGCTTGAATGTAAGACCAGGGAGTCGAACACATGTAGAGATGAAATACTTCATGGGACTGAACCATTTTGGAGTTAATCATGATAACAAACTTGAACTCCATCTTGTTAGTTCAACAATTCCTGTCATGAAATGTTTCAGACAATAAGGTTTCAGAAATGTTTGTAATACCACCATATCAAATTTTGTATGCCTAGATACAAGAGCTCAACACTCATCATACTGAAAATCAAGTATTTTTCATGGGGGTCATATCACCATTCCCTGATTTACACTAAACTAGCTTCATTTTATGAAATTTCAGGAACTGTTTTACTGGTACTGCTCATAGAAAGTATTAAAAAGAATGGATAAGGAGACAATCTAAATGAAATCTGGACAAAGAGAGCTTCATATCATAGAATGAAAGAAAAATTCCCGTGAAGCCTTGATAAAGAAGGGGAAATTACACACAAAATAATATTAATTATTGAATCTTCTTCAGAAATTATATAAAGTGAAATATTATGTTAGCATATATAGGATAAACTTAATGCCACTCTAACACCTGCATTATACAGCAAAAATTAAAATGTGAAGGTCATGTCTGTCTGTCTGCCTGTGATCTGGTATCAGCATCTAAACCATAAGAGAGATGGGATTACAAAATTTTGAACCCAGTCCATTATTTGGTATTCTAAAGATCACAATGTTTAGGATACTGGATCTGTTTCTATCCTCAGGTGAAAGAATGGTAGGCATCTACTCTGTTGGATCAGTTAGAAAAAACTAACCTCAGCCACTGGCCAACTTAAATCAGTATAGTTGTAGTCAAAGTTAAAAATACAAAAAAGGACCTCGTGACATTAGATAGTTAAAAGTAAACTAAAACAAATGTTTATTTAATTATTCACCTAATAAATGTAGCAACTACTCTGGCTTCTCATGCAATTTTATATTTGAAGACCAATATGTTAACTCTTCACATTAATTAAAAACTAATGACCTAAATATTTACAAGTATACAAAAAATTCAAAACATTTCTAGCAAAATATCTTATGTTTACAATATGGATGTACCTTGAACAGAAATTCATTACCATGAAAAAAATTTCACACTACTTTTGGGGTGGTAGTGACATATTATAAACCACATTATTTTATTAAACACACAATTCTTCAGAATCATCTTTGGAGACAAATACTTGCCTTGAGAACACCTTAGAAAACACTGACGAGTGATGCTGGCTATCAGCTGAGTTCGGTACAGATGATAAAGCTTCTTTCTCATCCTTTTCACTAGTTAAGCCTTCCACCCATGCTAAGGGGTAGGACAACCGTTTCAGCATCTATGAATGAAGAATAAAAAGAAAAAAAAACAACAGAAAAATATGACTTAAAATACATAATATGAGTTGCTGAACACAAAAGTATGTGTTTGCTTAAATAACTGTCTCATTAAGATTATTTTGTTTGATAACACAGCAATATTAGATATTCTTCAGGATTTTAATTTTATTAATGTGAACTTCGTAGAGCCCTACAAGTGTAAGACACTATATGTCTCTGATTTACATTATTATTGCATCATAATGTGTTCCGTGAGTGATCATACTTTGTTTCAGTTATACCTTTGCCAAGGTAACACACAACTGATGATCATACTGTGGTCTTCTGAGTTATGACATGCATACTGGCTGGTGGGTACCAGGGTTTCAGAGGAACTAACTGCATCCATCTTGAGGGCAGACAATGCAGGCAGTACATTCCTCTGAAATGCTGGTACCCACCAATAAGGCTGCATTGTCTTATAATTCAGATGACTATGAATCTTCACAAATATGAAATTCTCACTTTTATATAAATAATGAATTATGAGAAGAGTTCTGTCTTCTGGGATATAATGCCATGAAGTCTGCTGCGGCCAACCAACATGTCAGATGAACGTTGCCTCCGTTTTCAGGGTAAAAGATAAGGTCAAGCTAGAAAGCAGCATGAAGCAGGTAGCTAGGAGCAAACGTCAGGTGACTATCAATGAACTACACAGTGTTATATCCCATAAAATAAAACTCTTCACAATTGTGTTATATCCCATAAAATAAAACTCTCCACAACTGCGTTATATCCCAGAAAATAGAACTCTTCACAATCACTACTGTGAGAACCTCAAATGCCACATGAAGAATTATGTGATTCTGTCTCTGTATGACATGAACAGAAAATATTCATTGCTGACATTTTCATCAAAAGTGATATAACAGATGTTATTTGTAAATTAAATTGGTAGCTTCTGGATTACATGAAGGAAGTAGTGTACTTTAGGCTGAAGGAGATCCACTTCCAACAAAACTTTTTATTAAAGTGGTATGTGGAGCAAACTGAGGATGCCTTATTTGAATAATCAGCTCAAGAAAGTTATATTTTCAATAGAGTATGGCAATAATAAATACCACAGAAAACTGATCTACTACAAAAAATGTATGACAGGAAGGGACAGTGTATGTTATTTCTGTAGACAGAAATAATTTAAGCTTCCTGGAGGCATTAAGAGATCAAAATCTGTGTTATTCTAGAAATCACAGAAAACTAAGTGAATCTGATGAAGGTTGGAGGACACCTCTTTCAATGTCTGCAACTTGACAAGTTGGGTGATTTCATAACCAAAGTTCTGGAATATGAATGTCTTTCAATACATGAAAGATGAACATTCTGTATGTCAGCATCTTGTGCCACATCTTTAATTAAATGTCTATGTATTAAGTCCGTCAATAATGCAAAAATCATTAAAATATTCACCATTTAACACTAACACAACATGTTTCGGCCACAGACGGCCATTGTGACGCATTGAAACACCTAAGGATGGCCATCTGTGACCGAAACATGTTGTGTTAGTGTTAAATGGTGAATATTTTAATGAATGTTGCATTATTGACAGACTTAATAAATATACATTTAAGATGAACATTCTTTCATTCTCATGACAAACATTTTCCTGACTGCAGACAGACAAGGAATCCATAATGCCTGAGGTGAAACCCTCTGTATTTAGAAGTTTCAATAGTTTTAGCTGTCTAATAATGTAGCAAGTATTTCAGTTCTCTGACATCTTACTTTTGTGAATGATGACAGGACTTCACTAGCGACTGACATATGCAGATGCTAACTGCAGTCTATAAATAAAGTTAATTGAACACAATTCATTTTACCTTATTTTTACGGCTCTCATGTTTTTCTGGATCATCAGATTTTTGTCCAGATTCATCAGTTCCTTCTTTTCCATCACTAGTTGTTGTGCCTTCTCCACTATTGTCAGCATTAGAATCCAGGCTAAATGACACTGATGATGTCTTCTTCCTATTATAAGCATCACCACTCTGTATTCCTACTGTATCTGTGACAGAAGACAACTGGGCAACAGTTTTAGGTGGAATCCAGTCATTACGGGATGCGTTGATAATCTCCGCATCTGAAAACACCTTCTTTTGTAGAGGTAAAACAGGGTCAGGTTCTACTTGGCCAGGAGGAACATGAGACCCAGCACCTATAGAATCTAAAACACCAGTATCTCTAATGTCAATTCCAGAATCATGGCAGCTAAGTTTCACTAGCTGTCCTCGTCTGTCAGTCTCATCACTTCCTGCAACATCCTCACAAATACCAGCTTTTGAGGTGCTGCACTTTTCCTCATATGTGGCCATAATGTCACCATTCTCCTTGTCAACTGATGATCTGTCAACACTTGGAATGGCCCAGTGATGATCCAGACATGATCTCCTCCTTTCTTCAAGCATCTGAAATGTATCCACAGGTGTCTTGTCATCATCTGCATCCTCCATCTTTTCTCCTTCTGTGAGCTTTGCATTTATTCCATCTGTTCCATCTGAAAGACTCTTCTGATGCTGGACAGAAGAACATGATGATTCAAAGGACACTTGCCTGCTGCTCTCCTTCTGGCCATCTGAAGCTTCATTGTCTGATGAGGACAGAAGCATGAGATTGGTTGGTGTAACTAGGTCACGCTCAAAAGCCTTGGGAAAGGCATCACCTTCACGACCACTGGCTCCACATGAACAGACACTCTCATTTTCATCATCATTGTCAGAAGAAGAGCGTGCACGTGCCAATTCAGGAAATGTTTCATCTTTGACTAGTAACGAGTCTTTGCCTGGAGAGTTCTGAGGGTTATCTGCAGAAGATGCTGCTTTGTGGCGACTTCCATGAGCATGGTAAATTTCTGGTTTGGGAACATCAGACCTGGAATAGCAGCAGTACTGTTAGTATGAAAATTCATACCACAAAGGAATTTACAAATCTGCAGAGCACATGTAGTATGTACTGTTTTTCATTTTTATTGAGTTTAAAATTCCCTTTCACAACAAAAGAAATTCAATGAAACTCTCTCTTTATAAATGAGGATTTTCTAGAAACTAGTTTCTAGAATACCTGACAATTGAGAGTGTCCAAAAACACAGTAATTCTGAGTATTATATACCATCATCAGAACCCCTTAGAGGATTTCATGAAATATTTTAATTTTAATATTTGAGAAACATTAATGTCACACAATGGGCCACTGGGAAAATGAGACTCTCCTTAGAGTTTTCCTGGACCATGGAATTATATTCATACATATACTGAACAGATGAAACAATTTTCTGCATATACATACAGAGTAACAGTGTGATTGTCTGCTTCTTTCATACATCTAGTTACATTTTTAAGACTGATCCTCTAAAACAGAAGACTAACTTTCACCCATCCTCATACTAGTTTTGTTGAAACTTTGTAATTGGTGAACTAATACAGAGCATATTATTGCATTATACATTAGATATTTAGAACCATGTTTTTATAAATAAAACAATCTAAAGTTGTCATTGTTATTAATGCTAATAGAAGATGATGAAAATGGGGTTGAACTGAACGGAATCCTTTCGCTAAGCGATTAAAGTTATGTAAAGCCTCGAAAAAACAGATATTAATAGGCATAGCATAAATAATGATTACACGGCTTTCCCTGTGAAACTGTTTCCTTCATGTTAAAATGTTACAAAGTCATTTAACTGAATTCAGAAATTTCAGTAGTTTCAGTGTTTACCTTGGCAGATCAGATGTATGTCCCACTCTCATATGGGCAATATCATAATAGATGGCAGCATTTACAACAAACTCCATAGGAGCAATGACTCCATATGACTCTGGTCCATGTTCGATGACCAGAGGATCTGATACATTGGGGTCAAACATGACAGCATTAGGTGTGACCAGCAACACACCACAAACAACACCCTGAAAGAAGACACACAAAAATCAGTGTGCAGATTTTCCACCATTAAGCAAAGGTATTAACTATTCTCCCCATGATTAAAAAACATACACATTCAAACTTTACATTAGAACTGGAAGCAGTACCATGTCAGTACATCCCAAAACTGGGCATTACCATTATTAGATAAAAGACAATTTTAACACTTTCATCAGCACATTCATGCATCTACAAATGTCTCATCAAATTCTAAAGAATTTAATGAGGTGTTATGTGCACTGAAACCGCCTTTTGTCTGATGTTTTTTATAGCTTACTTTCCTTTCCCAATGATTAAAAATGTGCTTATGAGCTCACCATGCTGCTTGCATGTGTATCTGTGTTCCCCTTTCAACTTTGGAACAACTGATCCATTTTCACAAAACCTAGTAACAATATTATACCACTGGAACCTAGCCCAGTGTAATAATTTCTAATTTTCTACAACTGGTAACACCAAGTTGGATGCAAGTTGGATTATTTTTTGGGGCTGTGGTCAAAAGGACATTCAAACTGTATTTATAATCCAAAAAAAATGCTTAAGGCTGATCAAAAGAGTCAATAACAGGGTATCGTGTAGAGAATTTTTTGGTGAATTTAAAATTTTAACCTTAACTTCATTGTATATCTTTGAGACGTTGTGTTTTTTAAGGAAAAATAGGATATATAACATCTCGTATTCAGATGTGCACGGTTATAACACAGTACATAAGCAGAATTTGTATGTCCAACCATGTAACACCTCACGTTGCAAAAGGAGTGTCATTAACATGGGAATAAGATTGTATAATAACTTGCCCTCTCAAATAAGAAGTATTCAAGAGTTCAAGGTTTTTAAGCGTCAATTAAAGGATTACTTGTTGTGCAAAGCTTTTTATTCCCTTCAAGAATATTTTTACAAGAATTAGCTCAATAATAGAATAAAGATACTTGGGTAATTTATTTTAGCTATTGCATGTAATTTATAGTTTAGCTTTTGTTGCCTAATTATACTCATCCACTGTTTTATCATATTTAAAGGACTTATTATGTTATTTTTCTATGGTTTTTTATACTATTAGTCATTTGATGTGATGTTTTTAATCTTATATATTTTTTTTTATAAAAAACTGACTTGTCCAATTGTACATAATGTAACAGTTATGGATGTTAAATAAATCAATCAATCAATCAAAGCACAAACTTGTGAGGTGGGAACGGAATCAATTGCCTTACACATTAATAACCACCGATATACACTATATACAATATGTTTACAGGGGTGAACAACACTGAAAATAATTTTCATGGGATCCTACCTGTCCATCAGTGATATGGCGAACATTTATTTTTAGAAATCGTTCACAGTTCCGTTGATTTGCCACTAATCGCTGATCACTGGCATTACTGCTAGGAGCAGCAGCACCAGTGTGTGATGTCAGGGGTGACAAGGGTGTTACCACGTGCTCAATATGTCCTGGCAATACCAGCTTTGGGGACACAGGCCGTAGGTTGTCTAGAATATCTGCAACATGACAATAAATACTATAATAAAGATGATAGAATCACCAGTTTTGTCATCTGTTATCATTCAATAAGTCAATAACATTATCTGCATCTCTATAGCCTAGTGCTCAGCCCTCTATGAAACCCGCAACTTGGAAGCAAAACACATCGTGAAGAGACTACTCACTGGGATGTGACATTGTGTAGTCTGCAAGAAGGTTAGTGATGTGTGGAAAAATGTACAGTCTCCATTGTCAAGGTTAAAGAGTAAGCCGAGCAAACAAAAAGCAAGAAACAAGGAGCCTGCTACCAGATTACATACTGCCACTTCACAGAAATACTCTTCACAGTTATTGCCAAGAGAACCTAAATTCTAATAAAACATATCTTCTACAAAGTGCAAAAGTCCCCTCTGGAAACAAACTTTCCAACCTTTGAGGAAGTGTAATAAAACATTACATACAGAGAATATGCCTGATAATAAATTAGCTTTGAGTTACGTTTGGTTCTTTCTCAGATCACACAATGTCAAATTATAGCATATGTGATGAAAGTAATAATAAGTAATAGTAATAAATATGAGATCTCAGGTTCTCATACCAATGAATATTAAGACTTAGTCTTCTGGGATGTGATGTGAAATGTAGCTTGGTTCACCACTGTTTTTGGGGAACCCCCTGGCTCCATCTCCAGGGTAAAATGGGCAAAGGGAAGGTTGGGACAGGATTTCAAGCAGTTCAGTGGGAACCAGTGGCCCTGAAAAGTGATGTTCTTTACAGAAGGGGAAAAGGAAGAAGCAAAAAGAAATTGGTGGGAGGTAAAGGGAAAAAGTTGCTCCTCTTTCAATCCCCCTTTCTCCCACCTCCTGTACCTTTAATTCCATCTCTTTCCTTTTATGTTTCTTCCTTTTTTCCCCAACTTGTTCCTCTAAATCCCCCCTCCCCTCAAAGAAAAACAGTCCCTTCAGGGTCACTGGCTCCTACTGAACTGGTTATAACTCTATCCTGACCATCACTTCTCACAAAGTTTGGATTTCTCCACTTGGCTCACTTCTGCCATGAATATAGAGGCAGCAGGATCCTCCAAACATTAGTAACCACCCACCTAACTAAAAGGTGTCACAATCCAGAAAACCACAGTCTTAATGTTCCTTACATCTTTTGTCAGGCATTCCTGGCATCCTCTACTTTCTATACATAGGACAGCCTCAGGAGTTGGATCTCAGGTGTTCTTTATGAAAGACTATACTGAAATATTAATCTGATTTCTTCTCGATGACATAATATCTTCATTATGAGGTTATTATCTTGCACCAAATATCTTCATTATGGTTATGATCTATCACTCTGAATCAGATTGTAAATGTGCTAGTGAAAATATCAAATAATTGGCAATAACAAATATGGATATAACATCAAAAGAAATACCGCTTTTAAAGCATTCCTGAAAATTAAATACTTCGCACAGAAGATAACTGGACAAGAGGTGATTATGCCCAGATACATGAATGGGAAAAAAATCCGCTTCAAAGTCAAAGTTCCCACCTTTCTCCTCTGGTAGTTCAGTGTCTCCCTCCAGGTGATGTGTGGCTATGGACGTAGATACAGTAGATCTGTCACCATCACTTGCATTGGTGCCAGGTCTCTCATCACCAGAGGTACCAGAACCCTGCTTGTCCGGGACATAAAGTACTTGCCCAGGGAATATTAGTCGGGTAGTGAGTCGATTCAGTTTAGTTAGTTCTGAAGGTGTTGTGTCAAACCGGGCTGCAACTGATGTCAGGGTGTCAGATGCTTTGACCTAGAAAAAATATGCAAGGTAAGTCATGAGTTGCATACATGATATCAAATGTATGTGAAAGCAAGAATTACATCATCTTAAAACTTCTACAGCTCAGTGGATTGGGTCCTAGAATATGATGCTCAACAGTAATTCATAGGCATAAACCAATAAAACAGGAAATGTTCTACTGTTTCTTTGTTTATTTTGTTAATGAAAAGGCAAGAGAAATATGAATACAGTTTGAACACGATTATCTGCTTACATCACATCACCTGTCAACAGCTTAGGGCTTCAAGAATACCTTGTATGTATTTCTTGGCGAATTAAGTAATACAAAGACAAATGTGAGAAATTCATTAACAAAATCATATATTTTTACTGATAAAATAATACGAGTGAAGGTTGATGACTCCTTGCATATTTACACGGATATAAATCTATGGGTGATTAACGTTGAAGTTTTTAAAAGTTCTGTTACGCTGCATGCACACTCCTTCACACTTAAAAATACATACCATGTCATTTAGAAGTTAATAACTAGCATAAAAATGTTCTGGTCATCAACTTCATCCTTCTGCTTTTCTTGCTTCCCATCTAAGTATATCAATTTCTTTATTAATGTTGATCAATGATAGAAAAGAAAGCAATAATACTTTCAATAATATGTTATTGTACTAAAGAACATCTCATCTCCCCAAAATTTTACCTGCCTGTATGTTTATCCTTGTTCTGCAGGTGATCAGTGAACAGGAATAATCACTTTTCCACTGGTATATACTGACTGTTAACTTCCTTTTGAATTACATTTGAAACGTTACAGAAGAAATAGGGCCACTTTTTTTTATTGCTAGTGGGGTGGGACTAAGTCCCTTGTACTGTGGCCACTTCTGGTCTATTGTACCAGTCCCAGATGATAGGTGAGGGTGATTGTGGGGCAGTTGGTGGAATGAAGATTGGCAGGGGAAACCGAAGTACTCGGAGAAAACCTGCCCCAGTGCCACTTTGTCCACCACAAATCCCACTTGACCAGACCCGGGATGGAACCCGGGCCGCCGTGGTGGGAAGCCAGCGACTAACCGCTTGAGCTATGGCGCGGCCATGTTCACATTACTTTTATATAACCTTTTACCATTACTATTAATTTGGATGATCTGAAACTTCTATGGATGTGTATAAAATCAGATGGTGAATTTATTGAGGGAATGCAGAAAAAAGATCTAAGGATTAGATGCACTTCAAAATTGCTGATTATGGCATAAAATTAAAGGAATCAAGTTAATATGTGTTGCAAAGAAACAAATATACATTCTTGCATTCTAAAGATATCTTTAGAGGAATATAGGATACCAGACAGTGTGTTTCATAGACTACAAGTGGCATCATTGCAACAAATGACAGTCAGTACATTAGCTGATGCATGGGACAGAGATAAACACTTGCTGGCAAATTCCCAAGTTCAATGCCTTACTAAAGAGATGAGCCAAGTTTTGCTCCTGATTTGATAACTAGAATTTGATGAGAACAAACCTGGTGTCTCTACAAAGCCTATACATCATCTTATCACATACAGCTGCCACATGCCAAAAGCAATGTATTTAATTCCAATATTCTATTCAAATTAAAATATATAATTTTCACTATAGAAAAATATCTGAAAACACAGTAACAATTTAATTTAATTCTATCAGTAACAGGAATATTATACCTAGAAACATATCAACTCTCCCCAGAGATTATGAATACAGAATGATGTCAAGATTTATCTTGTTTGTTTGTTTGTTTAGTGTGTTCAATATATTTTATAGGTCCAATTGTAACATTTTCCTCTCCCATGTGTCATATTTGAAAACAAAGCCTCCTTTTCAAAATACATGCATGAATTTTAATAGGGTTCATTTCTATGATACATTACTGTATGAGTCAACATAGGATAGCATCAAACTACATCACTTTTGCTGAATTTCCTCTGATCACATGCTTCTAATTCCCTGACATGTTTTGGTTCTCATCAAACTATGTTTAAAATGTTTATAAGGCATTAAAAGGAAACTTTACGTATTTGTATTGTATTGTATTTAGAGAGGGTGGGTTTCCCCATGCACTTAGACCAACTGTTGGTCCATTGTGCGTCCCCCTATGATATTCAACCAGTCTCTATTCCCTACCGGTACTGGTGTGTGAATCAGTCCCGACTCAGCCAGCGAGTTCGGACTCTACTGGCTCAGCGGTATCTCGATGCTTCTCCCATCTACCAGAGGCGTTAGAGACTACTGTTGGGCAGGAAATGTCCTGAATTTGGCTCAGTGGTCCCCTTGGGACATGAGGTTCTTTTACGTGCCATAAAGCTACGACATGGGACCCACGGCTTAAAGTCCCTCCCGGAGGACTTGTTCCCTGAATTTTTCCGCCCTTATAAATTCCACTACCTCCGCCGGGTTTGAACCCGCGTACCTTGAGTCATGAGGTGGGAACGTTATCCTTAGACTACGGAGTCCACTTCAAACTTTACGTAAGTATTGTATGGATAAAATCCACACCATAATTGTTCGAAATCACTTTATAAATAAATATAATTATTCTTAGAACAACAACAAAATAATTGTATGTTAAAGGTGTGGACCAGTTAACATTGGTGTTATTCAGCTGTGCCACTTAAAACGATTGTCTCATTCATTTCTGGAGTCATGATGTTGTGGTTCAGATGAAGTGATTGGATGCAGAAGAGTTCTACACTGAGGAAACCGGTCAAGTCCGGCACTCACCCTACAGTAATGCTGAAGAAGCAGGTATCAGGATTACTCTCTGGATATAATCTGGCAGCAGGCATAATAGTTAGCATAGGCTTGCAAAGAGCAATGAATACAGGAATTTTCCAGAGAATGGAAGCTGAAGATAAAAGTAGACATGACAGAAATGATAATGTTTAAGAAAGGAAGAAAATTAAGTAAGAATGAAAAATTCTGATTGTGAAAAGTGGAAACATAGACAACAAATAACAGTAAATATTTAGCGGCAACCTTGGACAGCAGAGGAAAATGAGAAATGGAGAGGAAAGAGGTAACACTAAGGTGGAAATGGCACCAAATAGGATTAATGTATGTTTACCAAGAACATCAAATACAAAGATCAAAATTATATGGCATTCACAGTGGTGACTATGCACAGCTCTATCTTTAAGGATATAATGCCATGTCATCCAGCAAAATGTAACAAACATTTTGGAGGACATATCACAATATGTTCCTCCAAAACATCCCTTCACTACCGGACTAAGAGTACAAGACATATATCCCACAAGACAGAGCCCTTCAACAATGATCTACTATGCTAGGGTCAAGGACAGCAACCAGCTTATATTTGGGGTCTGAAGGTTGGCTGGAAGTTGGAAAATTGCACGAGTTACTTCATAAAGGAGTAATGAGAATAAGCAAATGGTGCTTGTGTGAAGGAATAACGGGCAGGAGAAGGTATTAGAGACAGTAAACACACACTCACTAAGACTGTTAGAAACTATCTCTGTTGACAAGATAATGCAAGAAATCAATCAGGATATACACTGGGACAGCAGAAAAAAAAAAGAGGGGCAAAAAAGCTGAATGAGAACAATTATTAAACAGGAACTGGAAAGTTCGGCATGGCAGATATTTGGCAGAATGAAAAGAATAACAACGTATGGTTAACAATAAGTAAAAGATCCCCTGATCTCGAAAGCCAAGATATGGAAGTTACAATGAGAGGGAGAAGCTCATTCACATTGTTTAAGTAACTGGAAGGGGAGAAGGAGGAAGTATATACACACCTAGGTACAAAGGAGGCCAGAAGAGGCATAATATGATGGAAAACATAAGTCTGGAGACTAAGGGGAGCTGGGAGGAACAATGCACATGGGAACAGTTCCACATGTAGCAAAGAAGAAGAAATGAACCATGCACTGAACGACGAAGGAACAAAGATTTGGAGAGATGAGATCTTGAACACGAGGTTTAAGAACACTGATACAGAAATTAATATTAGGAGGATAGCAGGATAGGAAGCTAAAGAGAAATGACAGAAGAATACATATGATTAACTATAGACAGAAATGGAAGAGAGTGGTAAGAATGAATAAGAGTTATGCATATATAATTTAAGATGATTAGTAATTATTAGGGGTAGAAACAGGACATGTATAGTTAAAATGTTAATACTGTCACGTGTAGGGTGGTGTGTGTGCCGAAAATAATGGGTTCTAGACCAGACGATTGAATTTATTAGCACTTCGGTTACAAGTTCTGTTAATGACACCCAATTATAACGCTATCGCTATTCTACAAACTTTCAGCTCACCATTGCACACGCACTAAAATTCTCTGTCTTCACTAGTCATCTCCTGGCAACGGATCTCAATACAGAAACTAGCACTTCAAATCATTATTTCTTATCTTATTTCGTCTTCAATCACTTTGTACCCCTCTGTCCTAATCTGGACACAAGTCATCTTCATAAATCACTAAGGACACACTCCATTCTCGTCCTTCTACTCTCAACTGCTGATCTCTCTAGTCTAATTCTCTCAGCTGTGTTGTAGAGCCGAATGTCTTCAAGATAACCCTTCGGCATGGACCACGCACAGAAAACACATATTACGTGTTTGCTATCTTGCCAGTCCAAAGGCGCACTGGCTGGATCCACAGAAAACATATCATGTGACCACCACCCGGCCAACTGATTGGCGAGCTGACCGCTGCCGAGCAAGGAGTTATAACATTCGTCCTATTGTCGTTTGCATGTATCGCAAGGTGTTTATCGATCCATTGCCTTGCAATGCTTTGAGCAAACCCGTTACAATATATATATATATATACTCTTTTTTTCTTAAGATGTTATTTCAGGATTCTGTATTGAGACTACAAAGGGTTGACAACTGGATGATTAATGAAGATGGAGCAGCTGGTGGAATAAAAACTGGCAGGGGTAACCAAAGTACTCGGAGTTTACCAACATAACTGCCATTTTGTTCACCACAAATCCCATTATGA